TGGGGACACTGGGGGACATCGGGGACATTGCGGGGGTTGGGGACAACGAGAATTCGGGCACATTTGGGAGGATTTGGGGACAACGAGAGTTTGGGGACTTTGGGGGGGGCACACAGGTGCCACCAGCCAGGCGTGTCCCCTCCCCAGGTGATCATGGTGACAGGTGACCACCCGGTGACGGCCAAGGCCATCGCGGCGCAGGTGGGGATCATCTCCGAGGGCAGCGAGACCCCCGAGGACGTGGCGGCGCGCCTGCACCTGCCCCTCGAGCAGGTGGAGCCCAGGTGGGACACGGGGGGACAGGTGGGGACAGGGGGGACAGGAGCTCAGGTGTGTCACAGGTAACTCAGGTGGGGACAGGAGCTCAGGTGTGCCACCTTGCAGGTGGGGACAGGTGTGTCACAGGTAACTCAGGTGTGGGAGAGGGGAGCAGGTGTGTCACCTCCCAGGTGGGGGACAGGTAACTCAGGTGTGTCCCAGGTGTGTCACCTGGCCGTACAGGTGTGTGACAGGTGTGCTGTCCCCAGCCAGGCGCGGGCCCGTGTTGTCACCGGCTCCGAGCTGGCGGCGCTGGCTCTGTCCCCAGCTATCTCAGGTGTATCTCAGGTGTGTCCCAGGTGTGTCACCTGGCCGTACAGGTGTGTGACAGGTGTGCTGTCCCCAGCCAGGCGCGGGCGCGCGTTGTCACCGGCTCCGAGCTGGCGGCGCTGGCCCCGGGCGCTCTCGAGGAGCTGCTCCGCGCCCACCCCGAGATGGTTTTCGCCCGGACGTCGCCGCAGCAGAAGTTGGTCATCGTGGAGAGCTGCCAGCGCCTGGTGGGCACACCTGGGCACACCTGGCCACACCTGGGCACGCCTGGCCACACCTGGCCGGGTGCCAACCTCCCCAGCGTCCCCAACCCCCATTTCCCCCGATTTTTTCCCGGGTTTCCCCCATTTTTTCCCATTTTTTCACCGATTTCCACCCAATTTTTGGGTTTTTTCCTCCATTTTCTCCCATTTTTCCCCCAAATTCCCCATGTTTTCTCAATGTCCCCAAATGTCCCCAAAAATCCCCAGTGTCCTCACTCCCCATTCCCCCCATTTTTTGGCTGATTTCCACCCAATTTTTGGTTTTTTCCCCTGTTTTTTCCCATTTTTACCCCAAATTCCCCATTTTTTCTCAATATCCCAAATGTCCCCATCCCAATTTCCTCCATTTTTCCCCCATTTCTTGGCCTTTTTTTCACCAGATTTTGGGGTTTTTTTCCCATTTCTTCCCTTTTTTCCCCCAAATTTCCCCATTTTTTCTCAATGTCCCCAAATTCCGCAAATGTCCCCAATTTCCCCCCATGTTTTTCCCATTTCTTGGCCATTTTTCACCCGTTTTTCACCCAATTTTTGGGGCATTTTCTCATTTTTTCCCATTTCCCCCCATTTTCCCCTAAATTCCCCATTTTTCTCCATGTCCCCAATGTCCCCAAATGTCCCCATTTCCCCCCCATTTTTTCCCATTTTTCGCCCGTTTTTCACCCTTTTTTTTTTGTTTTTTTCCGATTTTTCCCAATTTTTGGGTTTTTCCCATTTTTTCCCCTAATTTCCCCAAATTTCCCCATTTTTTCTCCATGTCCCCAATGTCCCCGTTTTTCCCCAATATTTTCCCCATTTTCCCCCATTTTTCCCCATTTTTCGGCCGATTTTCACCCAATTTTTTTTGGTTTTTTCCGATTTTTCCCAATTTTTGGGTTTTTCCCATTTTTTCCCCTAATTTCCCCAAATTTCCCCATTTTTTCTCCATGTCCCCAATGTCCCCGTTTTTCCCCAATATTTTCCCCATTTTCCCCCATTTTTCCCCATTTTTCGGCCGATTTTCACCCAATTTTTTTTGGTTTTTTCCGATTTTTCCCAATTTTTGGGTTTTTCCCATTTTTCCCTAATTTCCCCAAATTTCCCCATTTTTTCTCCATGTCCCCAATGTCCCCAATGTCCCCGTTTTTTCCCAATATTTCCCCCATTTTTTTCCCATTTTTTCCCATTTTTTCCCCATTTTTCACCCGATTTTCACCCAATTTTTTTTGTTTTCCCCCGTTTTTTCCCGTTTTCCCCGCTTTTCGCCCCAGGGCGCCATCGTGGCGGTGACGGGCGACGGCGTCGAAAAATCCCCCAAAATGCCAAATGTCACCAAGCGTCCCAAAAATCCCAAAACTCCCCAAAAGTCCCCCATTTTTTCCCATTTCTTGGCCATTTTTCACCCAATTTTTTTTCCCCAATTTTGGGGATTTTTTTCCCATTTTTCCCTAATTTTCCCAAATTTCCCCATTTTTTCTCCATGTCCCCAATGTCCCCGTTTTTCCCCAATATTTTCCCCAGAGACACCTGGGACAGGTGTGAGACAGGTGTGGGACAGGTGTGACACCTGGGACAGGTGTGGGACAGGTGTGGGACAGGTGATCCTGCTGGACGACAACTTCGCCTCCATCGTCACCGGCTTGGAGCAAGGTGAGGCACACCTGGGCAGGTGAGACACACCTGGGACAGGTGAGACACCTGGGACAGGTGTGAGACAGGTGTGGGACAGGTGTGACACCTGGGACAGGTGTGGGACAGGTGTGGGACAGGTGATCCTGCTGGACGACAACTTCGCCTCCATCGTCACCGGCTTGGAGCAAGGTGAGGCACACCTGGGCAGGTGAGACACACCTGGGACAGGTGAGACACCTGGGACAGGTGAGACAGGTATGGGACAGCTGTGGGACAGGTGTGGACACCTGTCCCTGCTCACCTGAGCTGTTCCCACACCTGTCCCCCGCACACCTGGGCTGTCTCTCATCTATCCCTGCTCACCTGAAGTGTCACACACCTGTCCCAACTCACCTGGGCTGTTCCCACACCTGTCCCCTCTCACCTGTCCGTCCTCACCTGTTCCCGCTCACCTGGGCTGTCTCACTCCTGTCTCTGCTCACCTGGGCTGTCTCCTCACTCACCTGTCCCCACTCACCTGTGCGGCTCACCTGTCCCCCCTCACCTGTCCCCACTCACCTGTCCGGCTCACCTGTCTGGCTCACCTGGGCTGTCTCTTACCTGTCCCCTCACCTGTCCAACTGACCTGTGGTGCTCATCTGGGCTGTCTCTCACCTGTCCCCTCA